GGATCTCTGACAGACAAATTTAACAGTATATGGAAGAAGAATTGATCTGGAAAATTGTCAGTAGGTTTACAATAAACTTCCTGAGCACTAAACCAATGCCTGTTCTAGTCAACATACTAGAGCAATTACCTAGTTAAAGAGCAAGCAGTGACCACATCTTGTTTCATTAGAGGGAAGCCAAAAAAAAACTGTTGATAAAACTCCATTTTATTAAATTTATAAATATGTAGAAACACAATGCAGTAACAAATAAACATTTTATGCTTTACACTGGTTTATAAATCTTGATACAAGTTCCTGAATTCTCAAGTGGATCTTAAAGATTTATCTAGTTACAAGAATGTGTGTCTGGAAGTTATACTTCTCATATCATTCACAAATTTTTACTTATTCCAGTTATATTTGCTTAACTATTCATGCCTGTCCTGTGGATCTGAAAACAGGAACAACAAAACTTACCAGGAAGAACACAGAAACAACCAAACAATAGAAAACTCCCTCCTCAAATTACAGCCAGTGATGTATCCATTGTGAAACCAATGACACACTGTCCTGATGTGTTACCCAGTAAGAGTGAGAAACTGAGCCAGATACAGGGATGTATATCTATAATCTCAGCACCTTGGAGGCTGAGTCAGGAGGACTGTCACACAGTCAAGGCCACAGCCTGGGTTTCACCAGGTCAGTCAGAGCTACAAAGGAGAATACAGACCCTCCCACCCCCAAAAAACAACGAAAACAAAAACTCACCTCATTAGATACTAGGAAATTTACAGTGCCAAACCCAAACCTCAAGCACATAACCAGTTCTCGCAGAGCTCTTTCTGAGCAACAGTTAGTATTTACAAGGCTCCCTAAAAGTAAAACAGATCTAGTAACATAAAAGGTGAGGAAGGAGACGCTGAGCTAAAGGAGGAAGGAAGGAGAGGAGATGGAGGAGGAAGGAACAAAGTGAGTATTGAAGAAAGGGCAAAGGTCACCAAGAGCAGGGTTCAGATGTTTGATCAACAGCTTAAAACACCAAAATAATGTCAGCTGTTAAAGCTGATCTCAGCAAGTAGGGGAACTCTAGAAGGCTTTCTGTCACTGAAAAGATGGGTAGGCGAGTCCAGAGAAATCAGATTCTTTAGGTTAATTAGTATAGAGTATTTTACATCTAAGATGAAAAACAAGTAGGGATGAAATGGTATCAATTACATGAGATTATAAATAAAGAGGGTTTAAAAATCTAAGCGCCTGTCTTTGTCAGAGGCATCATATTGGGATTTAAGAAGAGCAAACTTGGAGGTACTAGAGTTCCTGGGATGACAACCGATGTCATTTGACCAGTATGCACCTGAGAAGATTATCTAATCTTTCTGTGCATTAATTTCCTCATTTGTAAAACAGGAGAGCTGGGGATACAGCTCAATGGTATGTAATCTCTCAATGCTGTGTAAGCAATAAATGTCTCAGTCAAATTTTGAACCCAGAAAATATGGACTCATGGTTTTTCTATTTAGTATATCAAACTAATTTTATGGAACAAGACTCATGATACATAACACAGACATGGACAAAATTAGACACCCACATGGGTAAAAACTGACCCCTATCTCATATCATAAGTAAAAATCTCCCAGTGGACAGGTGACCTAAGTGGGAAATAAAAGATACAAGGGTATCCATGGGTTATTTTAGCAAGGGATAAGTATCCACAGAAAACACACAGCAAAAATCAAAAAGGAAATCATTAGTGAATTGAAGGCATTTAACTTCATAACATCACCTTGTCAAACTTGTTTGAAACAGAAAATAAGGTGCCAGAAATATTTTCAATAAGCAGTTAGAAATATTTGCCATATACATCAAAAGGAGACATAAAATATTAAATTCATATTAACAGATAAAAAGACAGTTTATGAAATTAGATATCCAAGTAGACAAGAAACGTATGACAATGTTCAAATTTACTACACGTAAGGGGAAAAAAGCATAAAGCCATGAACTAACACTATGCACACACCAAGATAAGCTGTTGGTAAGAAAACTCTCTAAAAGTATGGGTGGAAATAAATATTAATTTAGAAAACTGTCTTCTCTATGGAATATATATAAATTCTAAGTCAGTGTTACCAAGTGTATAAGTGAACCAGAAACACACATGTACATAGACCAGAAAACAGGAAATTAAGTGTAGAATTATCCATAGCTCCAAAGAAGTGATAAGGTACACATTAACAATTATCTAAAGTGAGAGACTTCAGCATGATAAAAATGAATAAACTGCAGACATTTATAAGGGTAACCTCAAACCTAGCAGTAAGTGGAAAAAAAAAACAAAAAAAAAAAAAACCAAAAAACGCAAAATGAATACAATGTAGCTCCAGAGCCTAAGAGAGATGAAGTCGGCAGTCTTGGAAAGAAGAAATGAAAATAAGAAAATCAGGAGGACCTGTTACAACATAATATTTGCCCTTATTAGCCCAACACGCTTCTTCTGTATTGTCCAATGAAATGGCTATTTATAACTTGGGTCCTTGTTTCCACATATACAATAATTTAATAATAGCTGCTTTTAAAAATGCATTCATGCCATGTCAAAAGGTTCAGGGTTGCCAGTTGTTTCTAATAAAACTCCAAATATCTTTAAAACACACACACACAGAGAGAGAGAGAGAGAGAGAGAGAGAGAGAGAGAGAGAGAGAGAGAGAGAGAGAGAGGGGGGGAG